TAAGGGGACAGGACAACTTCACCGCATCAAAGGGACGATGGACGGGGCCATGTACCGTCAAATCTTGGGTGAGAAGCTCCTTCCCTCAGCCAGGGCATTAAAAATGGGTGGTGGATGGGTATTCCAGCATGACAATGACCCAAAACACACGGCCAAGGCAACAAAGGAGGGGCTCAAGAAGAAGCACATTAAGGTCCTGGAGTGACCTAGCCAGTCTCCAGACCTTAATCCCATAGAAAATCTGTGGAGGGAGCTGAAGGTTCGAGTTGCCAAACGTCAGCCTCGAAACCTTAATGACTTGGAGAAGATGTGCAAAGAGGAGTGGGATAAAATCCCTCCTGAGATGTGTGCAAACCTGGTGACAAACTACAAGAAAAGGCTGACCTCTGTGATTGCCAACAAGGCTTTTGCCACCAAGTACTAAGTCATGTTTTGCAGAGGGGTCAAATACTTATTTCCCTCATTAAAATACAAATCAATGTATAACATTTTTGACGTGCGTTTTTCTGGATTTTTTTGTTGTTATTCTGTCTCTCACTGTTCAAATACACCTACCATTAAAATTATAGACTGATCATTTCTTTGTCAGTGGGCAAACGTACAAAATCAGCAGGGGATAAAATACTTTTTTCTCTCACTGTATAATATAACTTCGAAATTCGCCGAGCAACTCCTGCACTCTGTTTGCATGGAGCACGTCAACGTTCGCGCCCGTCAACAATTTTTGCCGTACGGCCTGGCGGAGGCTCGCCGGGTTTTTGCCGCTTCCACGGTCGACGCTCGCCAACAACTCGCGCGGTGCGTCGAGAACCGCGTCGACGCGTCCGCTCGGAGCTGACGACGGATCCACGGTGGCCGTCAGCGGCACCTCTCCCCGCTCCTCGCGGTGCGTCGCCACCGCGCCTCACCTCTAGTCGGCCGGCCAGCCCCGCGGCACGCTGAGTACGTAACCGCCGTTGGGAGGAATTAACGTGCCATCGACAAAGGGACGGCGAATAAAAAATGGGAGCGCATGCGCCGCCGCGCGCCGCTGCTCTCAGCGGAGGTTGGCCCCCAGGGGGGTTCATTCGTGCCGGAGTGAAATCGCACAAGCTGGCGTGGCGTGGCGTTCATTCCAGGTGCGTGAACGGAGTCACAAAATACAGTTTTAAAAAGCAACACACGTCCTTCCCATGTCTGCCCTCTACTTAAAAAAAAACTAAAATATATATTTTTAATACATCCCACTGCATTTTTTTTTCCCACAGCAGCTTTGGTTCAGTGAAAGCAAACTGTGAGCCGGTGTCAATATTTAGTGTCTCATCAGCAGTCAGGCCTGCGTAAACAAATGCCGGCAATGAAAATAATCATTAGTGTCGTTGTGGAGGCTGTAACAAGCAATTACAAAAGGCAGACAATACGCCTCCTTCCCGAATGTGTCCCTACACATATAAAATCTAATATTTTTATTTTGTTTGCACGTCCCATCATGGTAGTTTAGTTTACAGCTTCACACGTAGCAGGCTTTCGTGACCAATATCATCCATAATACAGGTTTTTTGTGGTTAGATCGCGTAAATATATAAATGTGTCGTTAAACCCGCCACCACCCGACACAGCCAACTAGTAAACAGCACGTGGCCAATTCGTCACTAGTACAGCACACCGGTGTGTTGGAGAGCCAAGCCAAATGTGGCTGTCGCCAGATGAAGCTAGTCGTAATTACTGGCGAAACGTCGTATTCGTCACTAGTACAGCACACCGGTGTGTTGGAGAGCCAAGCCAAATGTGGCTGTCGCCTGATGAAGCTAGTCGTAATTACTGGCGAAACGTCGTACTCAGATTGTAAATGTTGTGGCTTGGCTCTCCAACACACCGGTTAGTGCTGTACTAGCGACGAATTGGCCACGTGCTGTTTACGTGACAACCCTTACTAGTTGGTTGTGTCAGGTGGTAGCGGGTTTAACGACACATTTATACATTTACGCAATCTAACAAACAAAAAACCTCTTCTTCTTGGTTCTTTCGGTAAAGTCACGTAGAAGGGAAATAATAAAATAATAAAAATAAAACATCATAAAATAATTTTCACGACGTTTCGGCTACAACGCAAGCAGCCGTCCTCAGGTGAAGAATGAAACACCACCAAGCTTGGAGCGTATATTTAAGCTGGGTTAGAGGGGGACATAGAATTGTAATGTATTACTTACTGTTAGTAGCTCAGCTTATTGGAGAGTATATTTAGTATACTGATGATACTATGTAGTTTATAATTTAGTTTTTTACGTGGTGGTTTAGTAACTGCAGCTACATACTATTAACATTCCTTCCCTTTGTTAATGCTACCCCCTACCCCCTCCCTTTGATGCTGCTAATCCTGCATAATGCACGGGCATAATATGACTTTGAAACCCCCCACCCACCTCCTACGCATTTCCCATAAATATGCTAAATTCCTCTTGATATGCAAATAGTTTTGTCAAGGCGCTCTTCTTCCCCCTCCAACCCAGCTTAAATATACGCTCCAAGCTTGGTGGTGTTTCATTCTTCACCTGAGGACGGCTGCTTGCGTTGTAGCCGAAACGTCGTGAGAATTATTTTATTATGTTTTATTTTTATTATTTTATTATTTCCCTTCTACGTGACTTTACCAAAAGAACCAAGAAGATGAATCCCTGCAGTCACGAAAGCTTTAAATTGATAAAAAAACCTCTATTATAATTTACAGCTCTTTGTCCATCCACTGCTGGATGAAGGCCTGTCCACATGGTGTCCTTCATGGGGTTTGTTTTGGGGTACTTCACCACCACACTGGTAGGTGCGTGGTGGTGGTGGGTGGTGGTGGTGGTGGTGGTCAAGGGGAGCCCCTGGACTGGATCAAGTGTCACTTGCCACTGCTCTTAACTGTGGCAGACAATGCAACCCAGGGTTGCTGGGTTGACTGTCTAGTGCGTTACCCACTGCGCCACCGCTCCCCCATATATAGACGGTTTAAAATGTATAATCTTAATAGGCGTTAGTAAATACTAGTGCAAACGGCATCTCACAACGCTGCAAAATTCATGACACGCGAAGGTACAAACACATCCCACGCAGATGGAACGGACAGAGATTAGTCCACACTTTGCCCTACCGCCTTCTCCTGGCGAGCCAGGCTCTTCTTGGACGCCCACGGGAAAGGGAGTTCCACTCCGCCTGTGTGGTGAGCCACCAACCCTCGCTGCTGCTGCTCCTGCCTCCGCAGACAGCCACATGCAGTAACCTACAGCCACCGCCGTGTGAGCGTTGCTTTTATGCAGAAGTGCATACAGCACGTGACGCGCTCGCGCGCACACCGTGAAGGGCTGCGGTGTGGATCACATAGACTGAAGAGATGTCCACTCCAGACCGCGGGTGATTAGAAACCAAAGCTGGTACTGAAGTCTTTCTCAGAGCGTGCCGTTATGCGCACGGAACAAACGAGGGATGACAAACTTGCTGTGCTGTTGTTTTGATGAAATATATAAAGGCATCAAACATAGTTGCACACACAAGCACGAGCACACACACACACTGAGAGACAGAAAGAAAAATGCGCGAGTAGGAGAAATACACGGAATAGTGCGTGTGATGGATTCCATTCAATTACTGACAGTGATGATGATGATAATGCCAATGATGAATGGAGTTATATATATCATAATGTGGAGGAAGGAGCAGTGGCACAGTGGTAAGCACATTTCGCTGCGTACCGGTGAAACGAGTTTCATTCGCGGCTAACATCAGTGGCGAGCGGTATATGAATTGGCCCAAGGCCTCCTCACTTCAACCGATCGTCACGAACCAATACGGCAAAGTATGGTCAGACAAAGCCCCGCGACTCACACAGCAAGGGGAGGCCTTCGTGCATCAGTGTATTTTAACGCATCATTGATGAGAAATACACTTGCCACACGAGACCCTACAAGCTCTCCGCGGTGCTCCAATATAAATTACCCGCTTGTGTGCCCGTCCAAGGACGGGTGTATGTTGCAGTAAATCTGAAAAATTAAATAGAAAAATTGTTCAGCTCATGATTATTAATGAAGGGGGGGGGGGGGTTGCCCCCATGTGGAGTGACGTCACCCGCTAATGGTTATTGGGGAGGGGTGTGGCATGTGGAGTGACGTCACCCCCTCAAGGTTATTTGGGAGGGGGTGCAGTATGTGGAGTGACATCACGTGCGGGACACACGGACATTCTTGGTTCATTATAGTAGTAAATCACGAACCTAAAATAACGATGGCAGCAGCAAGCCTGTCATTTCCACATTCCCAAGGGAGACAGCTCGAAAATATTTTTTTTTCATGTAACAATGAGCTAATGAGATAATGCACGTGAATTTCAGGTTCGCTGTGTAATTGCCAAGGTATTTTGAGAGGGGTGATTGCGGCGCAGCAGCGTTCAATCGGCCCCCTCACCCACTCACTCGCCTCCCGGTCGCAGCCAGCAACAGCAACATACTCAACGCGGGAACCCACAAATCCGTTCTGACAAGAGCTCTGAGCCTCTAAACCTGAGTTTGATTCCCAGGCATAGCCAACAGCAGCGGTGATAGGTGTCTAAACCGGTCCCCTGAGCCTCCAACAGCCCGCACTCACCAGCATGGTGATGTATGGTCAAACTACTCTCATGACCGACGTGGCATTGAGAGGTCTTTTAAAAAAATTGCCAATTTGTCCAGGTTTTTTCGCCAATTATGTTCCTGGTGTCGTGCCATGAGACTAATCACGATCTCTCTCGAACAGAGTGCGGGGGGGGGGGAGAAACCAGATGATTGGAAGAATTTGTCCCAACTTCTAAGTCACTCCTCTCCTTTAGCCACCCATGGGACTCGGAAGAGAGGACGCGCTTCCCATCACATCACGCTCAACATTCCCATCCGCACAAAGGACACGAACGACGTGAGATCGACTCGCACGGCCACGAACCGGAGGTGGCGGCGCAGAACACCGGCGTGTCGGGAACGAGGCGGGCGGGCGGACGGACGCGAGGCCGCTCACCTGCAGGCCCTCGATGGCCAGCCGGAGCATGCCGGGCGTGAGCTTGGAGGCCTGCTTGAAGGAGAAGTTGCTCCAGTCGATGATGAGCACGAAGCCGTTCACCTGCAACTCGGGCTCCTCGATCATGGTCTCCAGGGAGAGAAGGATGGCGCGAAGGATGTCCACGAAGGTGTACCTGCGGGAGCGGAGAAAGCGTCGGCACGCGTGACGCACCGTGGCGCTGGCCGTCCGTCACACGCCACGGCGGGGCAGCGTTCCGAAGCAGGGCACTCTTCTGCAGCCCTCCTTGTCGCTCCACTGCCGGGCGAGGTTCATCCGTGTGCCCGTGCGGACCCGTGGAGGTTATTTGGAGGTAGTTCACCATGCTGGGCAGCGCTGGTTGGTGAAACAGGGGCAGCATAGACGTGCGAGCATAGAGGTGCAATACAACAATGGATTCCGCTGCACTGCCGTCTGCGTAGCCCACGCTGCGGCCTGTAGCAACCTGACGTGCATGGTGATCACGCACACAAGCACGGGCCAGGCTCTGACGGGACTGGGCACATTCCACTATGTAACACGAGTTTTGTTCCTGGGTAGTAAGTGTTATTTCCTAATTGCTTATGCCTCAAAAGGATAGAAAATGGCTATTATTGCCCACAAACTTGACCTTTGTGACCAGGACACAAATGCACACGTTTTCTCATTGAAAATAGGTAAATTAAAAAAATATCACTGTCCTGGTCACAAAAGCAAAGTTTGTGGGGAATAATAGCCATTTTATATACTTTTGAGGCATAAGCAATTAGGAAATAACACTTACTACCCAGGAACAAATAATATCTATTTTTTTTGTTACACAGTAAATTCTGGGTGAATTGGTCACAGGAATTGTTTACTCCAAGACCAACTGCGAAATGTATACATCGCATATGATGCTGATATTTTATTACATTTAATTTGTGGAATTAATTTTGATTGTTGTCTTACACACACACGCGTGTATAGAAACACATATTTACATACGTGCGTGTGTAAGCCACGTTGCGTGACATTCACCATGCAGATGAACCGCACCGAGCAGATGAATCGCACCATGAACCCCACCGAGCAGATGAACCCCACCGCCCGTTGCACATTTGACATTCAGCGCCGGTTAACGGCGGCGGTGGCACCACCACCACCACGGCTACGAAGGGCGCACACTGAACACCGTTCCACACGTCGACAAGACAAAACCTCCGCCACCACCCAGACCGCCGGAGATTCTCAGGCGACGACACTTTGCCTCGTCTCCTCCTCCACGGCCTACCCCCCCCCCCCCACGTGTTTACCGTGCACCTGTAAGTTGGTAAGCGCGGAGAGACGCGCCCTGTGGCGAGTTCAGTGGTTATTGCCGTTTGGGGAGAACTTCCCTCAACCGCTACTGCCATATATCATCAATAGGACCGGGTCCCCTTTATCCGTGGCGCAGGAGTGGAGGCCAGCGATAATTCTGCCTCGTAATGAGAATATTCAGAATATTTACACTGCAAGAGGAATCCGATGAGCTGTAAAGCTCTTGTGTCACATACGTCCAGACGGGGCACGGGGTAAGAACGTTACAACAACAAACAGTACAAAAAAACAACACGATAGGAGTGTAAAGTGCAAGAAAGTCGAACGAATCACCCAGAATACATACAAATACAACTAAACCATCCCCATCCCGCAGGGCAAAGCCCACCGAGGCATTAACTTATTTTACAGAAGTTACCTGGCCACACACGATGTTGGCCCCGCTCCGAGTTGGGACACAGAAGCCCATCACACAATTCGTCTGCAAAATTATTGAATGGCGATTGGCCAATCCCAGCAGAGCCTCGTTGAACCTCAAGCCTCCCTCTTCAGGAGTTGTCCGGCTGCGTTGGCGGCATCTTGGCCAAGTCCCTTGACGGGCGATTGGCGTCGTGTTTGGGGGGCCAAACCGGAGGAAACTCCCACAGTCGCGCACAGATCCATCTATCGCCAGCAAATCCGCTACCCAGATCTGTTAATCGCTTGCCGAGTACAAATGGTCACTCTAGGCTCTCACCCGGTGATAAGCCAAGCTCTATGCATAATTGAGGAGGGGTGTGGTGCAGTGGTTAGCATCCTGCACCCCAAGACCGGAGCTTGATTTCTGGCCTTGGCTAACATCACTGGCGAGTGATATCAAAACCAAACCTGGACATCCCACACCTTCAGCAACCCACACTCATCAGCGTGGTGAAGTATGGTGTGCCATGACCAACAGTGTGGGGGTGGTCTTCATCCAGCAGTGGGTGGACAAGGAACTGTACATGCAACACGTGTTGTACTATGACGAATTGATGGAGCAGGTCTGCAACATGCGGGCAGGTTTGGAGGATCACACACAGATGGGAGACATCTGTTGTTAGAACGAGGTTGTGTCTACAGAAGAGGGCGTGTGTGTACAGAAAGTTCACAGTTTCCTCGCGCAGGCGACGTTGGATCCCACATCACCGTCGACGGGGCTTGTACATCACCCACCTCCGTAGGTAATCATAGACCTCGTGAGCTGACAACATCATCGCCATCGCGCTCACCCTCGCATCCACCATGACGCACACCGCACAGATTACTCAAAAAGCTGAACCCGGTCATCCTGATTCAGGCCCCTCCTGGATTATAAATTAAAATACAAGAGACGTGCCGGGACATTAAAGTTCTGTGTTGGAGACTCAGTGAGGCTGTAAACAAAACATAATCATCATCAACAGCAGCAACAACAACAACAGCAACAACATCACGACCACCTCCACTCGCTGTCACCTGATCTGGTCCCAGTTGGAGGCGAAAATGACCAAGATCTTCCTGCCGTAGTGATCGGAGTGCGAGAGCACGCCGGGGAAGCCGTTTCGCAGAGCCTGCCGGATGCCCTGGTCGGTGGCCTTGAAGTTCTTGAACATGTCCAGGTGCTGCTGTCGGTACTCGAAGTACTGGGCGAGCAGCTTGAAGGCCTCGAAGTGGTGGAACTTCCGAGCACGGAGGAAGCGCAGCACGAAGGCGTCGTCCGTGCGGAGGAAGCCGATGTCCGGCCGGGTCACGATCATGTCCCTCACCTCCTGGATGTCCTGCTGGATGGCGTCCGGCCTCTCGCAGAGCTCCACGCGAGCCTTCTCCAGCGTGTCCGCGCGAAGTCCGGACTGCAGCGCGTGGGTCATCATGATGGAGGTGAGGAGGAGCTGGCGAGCGCTGATGAAGATGATGATGGTGGTGGTGGTGTCCAACGGTCGTTGATATAGATATTGACGCAGTAGATGGTAATAATTACGACGATTCAATCGATGATATGATGATGGCGATTATACGGACCCAGTAGATTCCATGCTGATATGAAGTTAACACTACTGGCGAGGATCTGGACTGACCTAAGATGATATTATTATGGCGATGAAGATTAAGATGATGATGACGATGATATAGACATAATATATGATAATATGGCGATCGTGATAAAAATAAGATGGGTGATTATTTTGATATCAGAGACGATATGGACGAGATGGTAGTGACATTGAAAATCCAATATAGATGCTGATGACGCTGCTGATGACGATTTAATCATGCGATAAATTACCGAGGGTGACAATACGTGCCGAGATAAGGATGGTGATGATGATCATAGACCGCAGAGAGTGCACCCAAATGGTAGCGTGCAGCTAATAAAACGAACGCTGGAATTGCACAGACCGGGCTGACGAAATCCATTTGACAGAATAAACACGACCATATGCCCGTCACACCAGCAGTACCACGAATCAGCCGTCACTCCATCAACTCGTGCAGTCTCAGACGAATCAAATAATGCCCTCGGACCACACTGCTGCCGGGCAACACGGCACCGAGGACGGCTGCTGCCTGGCGAGGCGACACGGCCACAAACCTGCTACTGCTCTACCCGCCTCGATCATCAGCAGCAGCAGCATCGTCATTCCCAAGCGTTCACAGCGAACAGCATCATCAGCAGCATCATCATCAGCAGAATCCTCCTCCCACGCTTCTCCTTCCTTGCATGGCCGAGTCGCGACCCTCCCGTAGCCGAATCGCTGGGCCCGCAAGCAGCAGAGATGATGGTCGGCGATGGTGCTGCTGGGGAATAGCTGTCCGTGTCTGGCTGTTCGCCTCCTCCTCCTGCGGCTGCTGATGCTGATTATGGATCGCTCCTCGCACCGCAGCATCCGGCACCAGCAGCAGGGTCTGTGTGTGTGTGTGGTAACGCGTCACTCAGCAGTCGCGCGCAATCCGTGGGCGGGGCTAGCTCACCGACTCATTCATTCACTCATTCACCGTATGAATCATTTACCGAGTCATTCATTCACTCATTCGCCGAGTCATTCCTTCACCGAGTCATTCGTCACCCATTCACTGAGACATCCATTCACTCATTCGCCGTGTCAATCATTCCCCGAGTCAATCCTTCACCAACTCATCACTTCACTTATTCACCGAGTCAATCATTAACCGACTCAGTAGCTGGTTGCTGTAATATTTTCATGGATTCACGCAGTGGCCAAATTGCTCTTACTGCATATCATTGTATAAACTCGTTCACTCATGCAATTCATCAGATGATGCATTAGAGTACAAAATCATTTACGCAGTCAATTTAGCTTATCTCATCCATAATTTTCAATCATTGGCTGATTCTATAATTGTTTAATTGATGTACGGTATTGTCCACCGACTGATTTAGTTCGATTCACACTCTCAATTACTAATCCAATTGTTATTCACTGAGTTGGTCATTTATTAACGCAGCAAAACGTTTCAAATTCACCCATTCATATATGAAATTAGTAAATTGAATAATTAGTTCATTTAATAAATGTATTATTCATTTGCATTCTATAATTAATTTATGCAGTGGTCTGTTTACTTGCTAAATCATTCATTAATAGCATATTCACTCATATTCTTTGGGTCTTTCGGTAAAGCCACGTAGATAGAAAAATAAAAATAAACTCATCATTGAGTCATCCCACAGATTCGGTCGTTAACTCATTCACACACCCGTTAATGCAGCAGCATATGTCGAGTCGTCGTTTATTACGTTATCTTTAAAAAACATATAATAGTTGTATTCATTCATTATTTAATTCACTCATCCATTCGCTCACCATTATATTCATTCGCGCATTTATTCACAAATTAGCGTAGTCGTTCATGTATGCATTCATTTGCATGAATTACACTGCCAATTTATTCAAACATTAATTCAGCTGACAATGCGATCTTTATTGCACTTATTATTTTAAACATGATATTCCCCATCCCTCGTTGGAATTATTAATTGTCAGCTAAATGGTCATTACTCAACATAACACGTCGCTGCGGTCGACACAAACCCCCTTTGTCGTTATGATGATGATGATGATTATTATTTGTATTTATACGGAGCGATTTGCATGTAAGGAGGGCCCGATGGTAATGCAGGGGCCCAGCTGGTATCTCGAGCATCTACTGGCACTGTGCATGTGAAGTGCGCGTCACAGGCGGCACGTTTATCAGTGCCGCAGGGGTTGTTGGCTGCTCAGGGCCACACGAGGCGATATGAGAAACGTTTGCCGGGAAATAGCGCGCACGCGTGCACTATATTTTGTGCACACCAGAACACATTTATGCCACCAGAACTTTGCACGCATCAAAACCACAATCCGAACGGGTAAAAAATATATAGGATAGGTTATGTATGGCTATTCTTAGGTTTTTTTTCGGTAAAGTCACGTAGGTAAAAATTTTAAATTAAATTTTTTTATTTTACTTTTATTATTTTACATTTTTTACCTACGTGACTTTACCGAAAAAACCTAAGAATATGAATCCTTGCAGTCACGAAAGCTTCAAATCTAGAATATGTATGGCTATGTTAACTATAAGTGTATATTATATCGGTTGGACAATCGTGTCACGTGCGTTGTTGTGTTATCCTTGATAACGCTTCACACGAAAACGAGCCACGAGTAAACGTATACAGCACGTGTATTCATCACCATCATGATGGTGATGCCCTTCACCCAGAAAATATTGAGTCTCAATAATATTTGTTTTAAAATATCGATTCAAAATTTAAAAAAATATTGGCCTAATATTTTTAGGATGGTCCAGCTACGTTGGGATGTGTGACCAAACTACATTCGTGATGAGCGTTTTGGCTTCATGCGGGAGTCAAACGGAGCACTCTATCGACCGTCTCATAAGCCCCACGCACTGCCACAGGCACAATACTGGTTTATAAAGTGTTGGTTTTTTGCTTTTGTGCACATTGCATAATTTAATTAACCCAAAGTGTATCTTGCTGACACGAACAGGACCGCGCTGCTTTTGATGGAGTGATGGATTCGTCGCTCGTGTGCGCAGCGCCTGTTGCGACGTGCTTGATGATCAACATTGTTGCACATCGCAGGATTGTCGGAGATGGGGGCGGCTTGGGGGATGAGGCGTTCATCCAGCAGTGGATTGACCATGAGCGATGATAATGCAGTTTGAAGTTAATTTCGTTTAACCAGGAGAGGAACTTGAAACACTTTGTATAGCCTCATCTGCAAGCCTGACCTGGCCCACCACGAATGATCCTGGGTCACCAAAACGACAACGTTAATCAATCAAAATAAATAAATAAATACGTCGACGAAGCGCATTGTCTGATGGCTGTTGTTGGTGGGGTGAGAGAGAGATGAAGGCCCCCGCACTGTACCGTGTGGCCTGGCCTCGTGGCGTTAACCAATGCGGCTGCCCACAGAGCCCGGCACCCAACAGCCGCGGTTTCCATATCAGGGCCATCAGTGGCGCCCACTAGTACGCCAGGCTGCTGCTGCTGCAATCCTCGGCCTCTTAGCAAGCGGTTGAGCCCGCCGTCATCATTGGCCATGGCCAATCCACTGCTGGATGAAGGCCTCCCCAAGCCGTCTTGTTGTCGGAGTGAACCCACGAGGGCAAGCTCATCAATGGGCGCCGCGGTGGCGAGATGTTCACTCCGTCGCCTGGTATACAGGAGGTCGTGGGTTCGATCCAGACCCTGACGCCTGCTGCTGTATATTTGGAGTTTGCGTGTCTCTCTCCACGTGGTGAGATGTTCACTCCCTCGCCTGGTATACAGGAGGTCGTGGGTTCGACCCAGACCCTGACGCCTGCTGCTATATATTTGGAGTTTGCGTGTCTCTCTCCACGTGGTGAGATGTTCACTCCCTCGCCTGGTATACAGGAGGTCGTGGGTTCGATCCAGACCCTGACGCCTGCTACTGTATATTTGGAGTTTGCGTGTCTCTCTCCACGTTGTGAGATGTTAACTCCCTCACCTGATATACAGGAGGTCGTGGGTTCGATCCAGACCCTGATGCCTGCTGCTGTATATTTGGAGTTTGCGTGTCTCTCTCCACGTGGTGAGATGTTCACTCCCTCGCCTGGTATACAGGAGGTCGTGGGTTCGACCCAGACCCTGACGCCTGCTGCTATATATTTGGAGTTTGCGTGTCTCTCTCCACGTGGTGAAATGTTCACTCCCTCGCCTGGTATACAGGAGGTCGTGGGTTCGACCCAGACCCTGACGCCTGCTGCTGTATATTTGGAGTTTGCGTGTCTCTCTCCACGTAGTGAGATGTTCACTCCCTCGCCTGGTATACAGGAGGTCGTGGGTTCGATCCAGACCCTGACGCCTGCTGCTGTATATTTGGAGTTTGCATGTCTTTCTCTCCCCGTGGTCGCGTGGATTTTTCTCCGGGTCCTCGAGTTTTTCCCTCCGCATTTAGAAACGTGCGCTTAGAGTATTTGGCTGCTGTAAATTTCCACGTGATGATGACAAGCCACTTCGTTGAGATATAATTTGTGGCCAGGTGGCTTCTGAAAAATAGCTATATCGCTCGGTGGGCCTTACCTGATATAAAATAATTGTACATGTCCCCCAAATTATTTAATTGCGCTGTCCAAGTTTGTAACTCAAGTCTCCTCCCTCCCGCAAGTTTGGTATCTGCTGTCTCGAGCATCGTCGGCGCTCTTAGTTGCTGACTCCTTTGCATTATGGGCCTTCAGCGATGTGCTCAGCAACTGCTAGTTAAAAAAAAAAACATTTCAGGTTGTTCTTCAATATGCGTCCCACACGGACCTGCTGTTATCATCACTTCATTGGCTGTGTGTACATTCGTGGTCACCCGTCTAGAAAGCTGTCATGCACAGGCGCACTTGTGTTTGTTTAAAGTGATTGAGATTCGTACAAAGGTGTCCGTGTGCTGCAGACGAATGGATTTATCTTCGTGCTTATTTGTACCTACTCTGTGTAATACACGAATGCCCAATGCATTGGCCACTACTACACGTCCCCATTCTATATTCGGTGCTCGGGTTAGTATTTTGGTTGTGAGTGTTTGATGTTTCTGAGCCACTTGTCATAGCTGGCAGCATGAACTGATCAAATACTTTTACATATTCGCTGCGCATTACAGGAATTAGATTTCTCCCAAAAAAATCGCCAGCTCCTACTTCAAGGCAACGGCTGCTGTGTGCACTTCGTATCATTCCTAGAGCTCGAAATGTTTAATACAACGCGGGGTAAAGCACGCGCGCATCGTCGGCTTTACTTCGCGGGGAGCATTTGCTCGGTAAAGATCGTTCGTGATGGGCGTTGCTGTATTTAACATCGGTTTTTTTTTAAAAATGTATGAAAGGGCACTTAAATCATCAACATCCGCTCCACTCTGCCCCAATGTATATTTGGTCACCAGGGGGAGACACTTGCACATTATGTGGCGAGATTTTTTCAGCGTGTTGTCTTTGTATTGGTGCAGTACATGCTGCACTGGCAAGACATTGTTTTGATTTAAAAACTCATGGAGAGAGCCTAATAGTGACTTAAGGTGTCTCGATCTCTGAACAGGATACTGGCTTACTAACGCAACACGGTAAACATTGATGATATAAACTGGCTCAGAGGTCAGAGTAATGAGCCACCGCTGCTCAGGTCCTGGGTTTGAATCTGGGCAGCTACCCTTTGCTTAACACTGCGTCGTGTTAAATGTTGGCTTCATACTTAAATTAGATAAATTACAGCTCTCAATGTTAACTATTGGTTTGACTGTCATTCGACAATGCCTTAGAGCAAAGTAAATAACACTGTATTCTTATGTTTTTTTCGGTAAAGTCACGTAGGTAAAAACATTAAAAAGTAA